TATTATTTATTCTTTTAATATTTCTTATAGCTTCCAGTTCGTGCTTGACCCGATATAATCCGACCGCACATATTGGTTGCTTTGCTTCGGATTGGACCTTAACTTCCTGCATACTACACTAGTCGACATCGGTGAGAAACACATATATCCTGGTATCATCAATAATACCGTGTCTCCTCTTTGGAGTTCATTATCTGGGGGGCTTTGTCAGGGATTCACTCTTCATTTCCACGTCTTAGTTTTTTCGTGTATAATTTTAACCCCCAGTTAGCTGTTCAAGACACTTCAAGTTACACAATACACGATCCAGACTGAATAGATGTGATCATAGCTCTATCCGTGGTCTATCACAGTGCCTAGACTCCGTGCTATGTTGTGATGGACCTTGCTCGAAATCGGAATAGGGAAAAGGCCATTCAAGTACTGAACAAAGTTGTCATTTTATACACACACTCGCTCTCCATAGCCTATACTCAAAATCTTGGTCTCCAGCGATCAGCAAGAAGAATATTGGAAGTGGGATATCTAAATACAAGGACAATACCAATACTTCAGATGTGATTGACCTTGTGATTGGCTCCAATGCAGACAGTCCCTGAGTACTCCGTAATCCGTACCTAGTTAGGAATTTCAAACCAAAAGAGCGTTGTACTCTCTTGTGCTACGGTTGCACCTTGTTTTTTAAATTTTTTTAATTAATTTATTCTTTTTCCTTTATTGTACCTCTTCCTGCATATGTCTCGACGCTGTTGCCCGAAAGACGCAGGGTCCTTCTCCGTGTTTCTCAACCCATATCGAGGATTCGATCGCTGTGCCACTTCGGAAAATCGTCCCTCTTGGATTACGTTGAAATATCAAAGGTAGTCAAAAGAGAATAAAAGCATCATTTTCTATGCTTATGCTGCAGCTGAGTGCTACCGTTCATGATATGATTTGTCTCCTATCAAGCCTGTTGGTACATTGGCGCCGTACCCGCGACACCCAGAAGATCACAAAAAGAACCCCATACCCTCCGGTCCCATTCAGATCAGATCCTTTTACCCTGACCAATATCCGATCAATATCCGATCAATCTACCTATTACGTGGGGACAAAATTACTAGTATCCAACACCGCAACACAACAATATCAAGTATTCAAATCCCGTGTGTATCTTTTACTTGTTTCGGGGGCTCTTCAGGATAACGACTTGGCCTAGTCTCTACAGAGCCCAAAGCATCTTCAGCCTGCGGGAATTAGATCATTTTTTTGTCTGATTCGGCGCCACTTTCTTAGCAGAAGACTTGTGAGTCTTAATTGTTTCTACTCGTGACCAATCACGAGACGACTGTTTCTTCTTTTTGATTTGATTTTCTTTTTCTTTTTCTTTTTTTTTTTCTCATTGCCCCTTGCAAGTCTTTTCCCCGATAGAGACATAATAGAAAGAGATCAAAATCTTGATTTTTGCAAGATTACCATTCCCAGTTATTAACAAGTTGATACCCTCTCCGTCTCTTTCAGTTGGTTGCAGAACACCTGAGCAATCAGGCAGCAATCTCACCGCCTCGAGTCCCTTCCCCTCTCAAACCCAAGTTCATCCGAGATCCTACCTAAAAGGCTCCAAGCTCCTGACTTGACCTAATTCGATCTACATTAGAGGTCCGAAAGTCCTGCCTGAGCATCTCCTGCTCTATTGCGCTGCTTTTTATTTGATCTCTGCCCGGATACCTTGCGCGTTGACTTGACGCGCCATCTTGCGACGGGTGCTCTAACCGTCCGACCTTCGAGCCGCTATGTATGGCACATCTCACTCCTTATCTACAATGAACGATATGGACATCATTAATGGCTCGGGGACCATCGATCCCGCAAACTTGAGCAACTCCGGTATGTATCTTATCGCATTTCTTGCTACCTTGGCCTCGCGCTTTTCATTTCCTATTTCGTCCTCAATCACAAATTCTCACGCGCGACTTGTTTTCTTACTTCGTGGAATGAATTACATCTTCCTACTCATTCTATCCTCTATTTGTGCATTCCTTCCCCATCGGTGCTTTCAAACTGATACCCCTCCTAGTCTCTGTTGCCCTGCCAGCACATTCCCCTGCAATAGCAAGTCCCCGTGGTGTCAAGCGTAGTCGCACTCCAGACCACATGGGAAATGGACATGTCGAAAGGGATCAGGATGATGGTACGTGCGTGGGACGGCATTGTCAATAGGTTCTATCCAGAACCGTGCTATATTCCCAGCAGCGCTTGCATCTTGCCTAGTCACAGCTTCTACACTTCACAGGATGGGTGCTAACATTGCCTTGTTTGTTTTCTAGAAGAACAAAGTCGCCGCAAGCGCGGCCGCCCCCCAAAGACACCTCGGCCAAGTTCTAGTGAACATGCCATCGCAAACACATCTATTCAAACTCCTCAGATGCAAGCACGTCCACTATCGCAAGCCACCGCCGGGTCACCATCTCTTGCATCACCGGACAGCAAGGGCACACCAACAAAAACCCTGGTCAAAGCGCTCCCTACTGTGAGAGATCACACATCAGACCAGCTGAACGAAGAAGGCGATGAGTACATCCCGAAAGAGTTTGATGAAGCAGGAGAGACCAAGGCAGATCCTATGGGATATCCGCAAGGTGGCCGTGAGTATAAATGCCGGACATTCCGCGTCCCCCTCCGAGGCAGCAAGCTATTCATGCTTGCGACTGAGTGTGCGAGGGTATTGAATTATCGTGATTCATATCTTTTGTTCAACAAGAACCGATCCTTGCATAAAATCATTGCTTCGCAAATCGAGAAAGACGATCTTATCCAGCAAGATATTCTGCCATATTCCTATCGGTCCCGACAAATTGCTATCGTCTCCGCCAGATCCATGTTCCGACAGTTCGGGAGCCGGGTGATTGTGAATGGCCGACGGGTTCGAGATGATTACTGGGAGACCAAGGCTAGGAAGCAGGGCTTTACGGAGGATGACCTCGCGGGTGAGAAACGCCCTGGGGCGGCTAAGGCTCGGGATGGTTCTGTCTCAGAGCCAGCTACAAACCTGTTGCCGGCACTACCTCACAACGATGTTGTCTACAGTAATGCCATCGAGCCATTGCCTCACGGGCTCTCGCTGGATGCTTCTGAATCTTCCATCCCCCTAGCTCCACTTCCCATGATCCATATGTCGACGACGGATGACCCGCGGCTGCGGGATTACACTGTCATGTCTCGTGCACGCCAGGAATTGACCGGACAACCTTACCACGACCGCACTCAAACTAGCTCAGCAGCCGACCTCATCAACCAAGCCCAACACACATCTGATTTCAACAAAATGTTGAGCATTCAGCGCAGTTTCCGCCAAAAGGGCTTGGATGAATTTTACTCCAAGCCCCGCGAGGCTCCAGCCTCAGAGACTCAGTCTAATACTGCTCTTGAATCGGGTTTGTCTGTGTCACAGCCTGTTCAGGTATCGCAGATTCCCTCAGCGGGGATCCCAAATCCCGCTCATACGCAGCATATGGTCCCTCAGCAGGTTCCCATGCAACCTAATCCAATGATGGGTGGACAACCGGGTTACCCCCAACAGGCTCATCCACAATCCGTTGGACAGTCTCCCATGAGAATCCCACCAAACATGCAGCCCGCTCTTATGCAACAGCGGTCCAACCCATCCATGGGTGGCGGTATGAGCCAGGCTCCTCCATACGGATATACACCGCAGCAACAGCAGGTATGGGGACAACCACCACCGCAGCCACAACCGTCCCCGTTACCGTCGTCAGGCCACCAGGGCGTTGGAATGTCTCAGTATGGTCAACAGATGTCTGCAGCTCCGCAACAAAGCCCATCTCCCCTCGGGCATCATCCTCAGCAGCAGCAGCAGCAGCAGCAGCATCACCACCAGTCTCCTCGCAACCAGCAGCGACAGTCAATACCTCAGATGCCCCAGCAATATTCCCAGATGCAACACCCCCAAGCGGCACAGGCTCAGGGTATGCAGGGCATGGGATATCCGGGAGCCAACCCGGCCGGCTATCCGGGCATGGCACGACCCATGTACCCACCCAATCAGGCTCATGGCGGCCAGCCCTTCATGGGCGGAAACCCTCAACAGGCGGGACTTGCAATGAACATGGCAGGCAATGGTATGCCTGGATGGCCTACCGGACCTGGTGGCCCCATGCAACCCGGACAACCTCAACCCGGCCAGTCTGGCAGCCCCTTGGGAGGTGGGTGGTCATACTAGCTCGCGGTGGCCGGCGTTATCTAGATTGGCGTTTTCTTTTTACCGGCTTTTACATTATCATCTGACGCATGACTATTTTTCTTCACTCTCGCCACGTGCTTTCATTCATACCTGAAATATTCTCCTTTGCCGTTGTTCCAGTGTTCCACTGCATTCTTCACTGCATCACATGGTGAGGGATGTTCGGTTAATGTTAATCTGGGCCAATCAATCTTCCTATACCCTTTGTTGAGTTGTACTTAGTCGACGTACCTATTTCTTTGTTTACTTATTCTCCTTTCCTTCTTGTTTTCTTAGTGTGTCTTTACTGGCGTTGGGTCTTTGTGCTCGGCGTTTATTCTACCCTTTTGGACAGAGTGTTACAGGATTATGAGTATGTATGTTTCTCTTCTGTTTCTTATACAAGGTCGATAGAGGGTGAATTGTGGACAGTCTAGTTTTTCTTGCACATTGCCCGAGATGTCTCATCGTCTTTTGGCTTTTCAAAGAAATATATGACCCTTGTTTGCTTGCATCTGCTTAGCACTGTATATTTGACTTCTATCGTTGTTTTCAAGTCCCGTTTTACGTGCCTGCGTATCAATTATTTTGGGGCTTCATTCTTGTTATCTCACTCGTGTATACCTGTTGAGTGACGGTTTGCTTCTCTTCTCGATGTACTTGGTCTCCACTGCTCTCTATGCTTTATTTCTTCTGCCGGTTTCAGTCGGCATGGGATTTCCACCCTATCTGGGGGTGTTTTCTCATATATACATACCTACTTTCGCTAGTTTCAAGTTTATCATGAGCATTCTTTGTATTTATGACCTATGTAGACGGTTTGATGGAGTGTTCCATCAAACATAACATGGACAATTGTTTGCTATATCTCACGGGTGTGGTTTTTTTTTCTCATTTTATTGCCTTTTTTGGGATTCCAGTTCATTGATACATATAGGGTGCAAACACTGAAATCGTCCACGGCCCGTCTGTCCATCATTATATAAAAACAGAAGGGAATCTCGGAACGGAGCAAAAAAAAAAATAAAAACAAAAAGAAACGTCCCCGGGAAGGCTTGAACTTCCAACCTCCCGATTAACAGTCGGACGCGCTAACCAATTGCGCCACGGAGACTTGTTTGATGAAAGAACGATAATGTTTTGGATCTATAAGCAAAAGCCTACTGATCTGTCCTATATAGCAAACAATTCTAATATTATAGTATAGCATATTATCATGTACGAATTTCATGTTCCTTTGTCTAACAATGATGAAATACTTTTAAAACCCCTATCGAATATAAATAAATATTCATTTCCAAGCGGAAACGGCGAAATAAAGGGAAATATTTATTTTGGGACTCATCCCTACAAAGATATATATATGACTGTGCTACCTTGTCTAGCAATATTTCGAATTTGTTTACCATAGATATCGAATGCCACATGAACATGGCCTAAAAAGATAAGGGACACCATCGACAGGGACACAATAGTTCCCCACACTACTACAGGAAAGGGCCATCTATAGCCCCGAACCCTACAGCCAACCAAACAGCCACCGGATATAGCTTACACTTGTCGGAGTCATACATATACCATATGTCAGTATGTCAGCACCAAGACAATTTAGGATATATAGGCAAAAATGAAAGTTGACCAGCCAGAAGGGATCATGTTCAGCCACAGGAGGACCCCCCGTGGAGTTTTCGCTCCAAGAGAGCAAGAGTAACTAACCTGCATCCCATGAATCTCAAATCCAGCGCCATCTGCTCTCGTGCCATCAAATCTGCTCTCATACCCCAGAGGTCCCTTTACATGCAGCAAACTAAGGGCCCTAAACTAGATTTCCAGTGAGCCGGGTTGCCTATCGTCACCATGGCGTAAACCAGACAACCCAACACAACACACATCGAAATCAGGACGGTTCGAACCGGGATTATGGGCACCCTTCTCCCCCCTGCAAGTGACTAATATTTATACATACATGCCCCGAGGAATACACTAGAACCGAAACAGAAAAACCATAGACCGCGAAGTGCCTGTTCTCATATTCACAGTCAACATCAATCAAGCCTCGCTATCGCCAGTTGCCGGAGACTCCGAATAACCAGAGCCCACCAATATCTAACCATATCAGAAACCGAACAAAGTAATGCAGAGCTGGCGTAGCCAGTACACGAACCAAGATTACCTGGCACCACAATACCATAGCCATGGATTACCTGGCAGTCAATCGATTTCTCTTTATCTTCGATATTTCGCAGTCAAGACCTTGTCAGCATCAAGAAGTACATGTGTTTCTTCTTACTTACTTCTTAAACATAACAAACCCATAAACAACCTCTCACTCCAATCCCGACTAAAATAAAACCTCCCATACATACCCAATAAAGAAAGGTTATGCACATCCATGGATACATCTGGTAGTACAACAAATAAAGTTCGATGATTGAGTTTAAATGAACCTCCCCTACTATTTTATGAACCAATTTTTTTCTTTAAACAAAAAATTCTGCATGACAAAAGATAAAAAAGTACTCCTGCCACCGATTTTGTAAAATCTACAAAAAAACAAAAACAAACGTCCCCGGGAAGGCTTGAACTTCCAACCTCCCGATTAACAGTCGGACGCGCTAACCAATTGCGCCACGGAGACTTGTTTGATGTAAAGCGAGCAACATTTATAACATATAGAGCAAGGGACCTCATATGTGATTGATGATGGATTGTAGATATCGACGGAAGGACAAAAACGAACAGAGTAAGAAATAGCTTGAAACCATTAGATTCTAAATTTCCCAGGGATTAAAATGGGGTGAAATCTGCTCCACGAATTTTTTAAAATTTGCAGAGCCATGCTCTCTTCTCTACCTTGGTTTAAGCCCAACATAACCCGCTATGTAGGTATGTATGCATGGGTTTAAATAACCAACCATTTGGGTGCCTATATAGGTAGTTAACTAATTATTTATTAAATGATATAGTAAGTAAATAGGTTTTATTACTTACAATTTTAAATAGCCCTACGCTCGAACCTCCACTATATTACACCGCAAACTTACCAACCAACCAATCTAGGAAAGGAATCATCCGTTTAAAAAAAAAAAAGAGAAAGAGAATATAAGAAAAAAAAAGAAAAAGAAAATACATGTGGCACGACTGGAGATCATGACGACCAGACGTAGCGTCAAGAGAAAATTCATACATACATTCCTGGAGATCTAGACGACCAGGTGAATGGGGAGTAAGGTACTCCGTAGTCAGTTATCAGGTAGGTAGATACCTCAAGAAAAAACCTTAAGGGAAAGCCTCAATTATCTGGGAAATTTGTTCACAGCAGCAAGCCCAGAAATAAGAACAGCAGTCACAAATCATGAAATCGCCCCCCGTGACCTCTTTGTTCTGCAAATCTTGCTCACTATGTATCCCTCGAATCAGGGGCCGTGGATTGGTGAAATGGCGGGAAAAGGCAATACGAACATCTAGGTAATCCTTTACGGCAACGGTTTGTATTCACCAATGATCTCCAGTTTGTAAGAGCTAACCAGTCCGGGCTATGAACGGTCCAGAGTGCTGCTGGGTAATGTGAGAATGAATGACCGTTGTGCTGGGCACTGGCGCCAGTCATCGAGTACCCACATCCTTCAACACGAAGCCATATGAGATTCCAAGGAGGAAGTGCTAGATGACCATCAAACACATTCTCCCAGGACCCCGTCATGAGCCGAACCTCGATCAATTCAACGCGACGTAGCTCATCGTGAGCTTGTATGAAAATCTTCTTGAGGGTTTCATGGTTGATCCTCACACCTTCAAGCCGGAAAATTTTCAGTCTTGTGAAGCTCTCTGCTTCCAGATCAGACATATCAAACCAGGCACGGGAATACAGGCTGAAGACCTTGATCCGTGTTGCATAGGAGATGAGCTGGACGAGATATGGAGCAAATCGATCGAGTGGATACTTGGTCTTGATCACCGAGCGGGGCCATTTCGGGTCTCTTCTGCCGTCAGAGCCAGTGCTGTCATTAATAGTGATGTGGAGCTCTTCGATCTGAGCGAAAATGTTGGTGAAGTCCCTGGCATAGCCGCTCGACTCGAAGAAACGAGCAAATTCTGCGGTGGTTGGCATAGACAAATGGAGACACTTCAGCCTCGGGACAGACACGAAGCGTAAAGTGTTCACAAGGGAGCTTGTCAGCCTGGCAAGCATTGGTGGCTTGAGTTGTCCTTCTTCACTGAATGTATCCACCACAGTGGGGGTTTGCAACCTGAGTGTTTGGATGTTTTGGAAACGACTGATCAAGACCGGAAGAGCTCCTGCTGCCAGGTCGTCGATGTAGCGATCATAATCCAGTCCGGGCAGCCATGATCCCACGAAACCAAAACTCACGTCGCGTACATAAATGGCTTGTGGGCTTTCAGAAATCTTCAGGATGCTATCGAGAGGTCGACCAGCAGAGTACCCGACGACTGCCTGGATGTGCCTAAAAAGGAGAGGAGTCGCAATCCTATTCCAGATTTGGTTCACCAGTCTCAAGGTCGAAAGGGTCTTTTTCGTCGCCGGGTGTTCGAAGACATCGTCATAAATGAAGTCATTTTCCTCATGTGCTAAGCTAGTAAGCATGGCATAGAAGACCTGATATCAAGTTAGCCTGGTTTAAGCTCCACGGATTTGACCCGGTGTAGTACTTACTGTTTCCCAAGCTTCATACGGGAGCGATGGCTCTCGTGCCAAGTACCGAAAGTTGCGAGAGGTCTCATCAGACTGAAAGTTATTAGAAGGAGTTCGCGAAGGAGAACGATTCAAGTGTCCAGATAGGTGCCTGTCGAGGGGGAAGGCGTGTTGGGAAGGCTCGAAGTGGGGGAAGGACTTTCAGTCAAGTGAGGAGTCCTACGAGGGGAAGTGCCACCAAACAAAGAGGTGTAAGTGGGGGAAGCTCTACCAGGGGCACCAGTGGGATCAGTAGGTGCATCACGTGGAGCCTGCTGAACGGGTGGGCTGTTCAGGGCCATCTCAGCCAGCCGTCCCGAAGGTGAGGCATTAAAGGCCATTGCAGCCAGCTGCGCCGATGGCGAGCCGTTCAAGGCCATCGCAGAGAGCCGCGATGAGGGCGGGCTTTGCGCCTGCGATGGATCCATTTCTGTAGCTGAACCCGAAAAGAACCAGCAATAACGCGATACGAATTAGTGGGTTAAGAAGAGGGCCCACGAAGGTACTTTCTGAGGAGTAAACAAGTAGTAGTGGTTTGTTTTGATGAACAAGAGTTTGTTATGATGGACTGGGCACTAGGCCTGAGGCAAGCAGGGTGCTGATACACCCTTATGATAGATGCCCCCATCCTGTTCGGCTCGGAAAATGAAACTATCCGAAGGAAACAAGGTGTATAAGGAGAAAAAGGAGGAGCAGGAAGTCGGTGAGGAAGGAAGAAGTACATGTAGCAACTAATTAGACCATAGCACGCGCGCAACCCTCTAAGGACCTGGGTACCTGAGCAAACAGGTACACTGTATAATACACGATTGACCAATCATGACGAATTATAGAAAATAATTGACCAATCATGTTAAAGAACAGAAAAAGTTTAACCAATCACAACGAACCTTGGAAGTAGGGAAAAACCTTGGAAGAACGTTGCACCCATTCCAAGGCTCAGAGCCTCATGAAGCTCCAAGGTCCAGTCGTTTTCAAGGTTCATACCTACATCCAACCGATACAAGGTTATTTTTATTTTCACAACAGTTGTACGTAGAATCTCCCGAGGCTGGTTCCCCAATTATGCCACTACCATAACTATTATAGATACTTAATTTGTCTCGTTTATACTCTCGGTAGTAGCCAATAAAGCCATTGTTTTTGGATCCACTAATGAAGCCATCCCCGCTAACCTTTGCCACAATCAAGTCTCCGTGGCGCAATTGGTTAGCGCGTCCGACTGTTAATCGGGAGGTTGGAAGTTCAAGCCTTCCCGGGGACGTTTCTTTTTGTTTTTTTCCCCCTTAACTTGCTATTATCAGTCATGCTATTTATTTATGACCTGCAGACAACTTGAACTTTTTTTTTGCAGCACAAGGGGCTAGGGTAGGGTACGGCAAACACCAAGAGAGGGGGAGAGGGGATATCTCAAAATATATTCAACAACAGATTTATTTTAAACAGACATTGAATAGACATTGAATAGACATTGAATAGACATCAAAATATTGAATAATATCTCATTGTCGTAGCGAGTAGAAAGCAAACAACGCCAACCCCAGCAACCCCAAAACAAACCCACTCGAGTTAATTAAGAAGAACCAGCAGCACTTTAAAAAAAAAGCATCTAAAAGACATCCAGAGGAGATTTTAGAAGAATTGAATGTTATGTCCCTCATACTATGTTAAACTAATTGTATTAGATTACTGATCGACGTCGTCAACCTTGGAAGGACAGAAGCCGCACAAGCGGCCGATTATTCTTATATTGCACATCTGTGTCTTTCCTTGGTAGTGTCAAATGTCATCACAAAATCCTTCGTTTGAGTGTAAGCCGGATCTACCCCATACAATTAAATCCACCTAATCTACCCTACCTAACTTACAAATCTCTCTAAAATCCGGTAGCCAAAGGCGTCGTAACAGGCGCCACACCGGAAGGACAAACACAAGCCGTAGCCGATGAAACCGGAGGCTCTGTGCAATGCGGGCTCACCTCCCAAGGCACAGAAGATGTGACGGGGGCCTTGCCTCCAATCCTCTCAGCCTTGACCAACACCGGAATAACAGCACCGGTATTCAACTTGAAGGTCCGGTGACCAATAACCCTCAGAATAGACGAGATTTCACCCGAATGCGACGTAATCGACACAAACGACTTCTTCTTGGACAAAGTAAAGAAAATATCCCCCAATGCTTGCGCACTCCGAATATCCTGTGCGCCACTGGTCTCACCAGTCACGCCATTCCACAGCTCATCCACCTCGGTGAACCCGTGCTCAATGGACCAGTGCGGGAATAGGTCGTGGATGTAGCTGCGACTGCGGCGGTGGTCACAGGTGTGTACGCTAATACCTTCGCGGAAGAGTTCCTTGATGGTTGGCTTGAAGTGCGCGCTGTGCTTGGGTAGGTCCAGGTCCCCGAAGGTTAGGTTGGCGGTTTGAAGGGTGCGTGTCAGTGGGCTGACGTAGTAGTGGTCTGGTGTGTGGATTCGTTGTTCGTTTATCTCCTTTTGCCAGAACTCATTTGCTTTGAGTGCTTGGGTGATACCGCCGGGTGTGAGGGTGGCGTCTGCCCAGCTTGCTGTGCTGTTGCCATCCAGTTCGGACCAGTAGCACTGAATGGAGATAGTTAGGTTGGTCCTAGCGTGAGGTTAAGGTGGTAGGGAAGGACTTACGTTCCACGCTGGGGTGCCATAGTAGGTCTCGGCGGCATTGTGCCATCCTTCTCCATGTCGACCAAGGAACAGAACCTTATACTCGATGTGCGGAGGAGAATGATCATTCAACTTGGCGACCTGGTTATAGAAGCGCTCCCATTGGGTTAGAGACTCGTGTTTCTTGTTCTCCTTGTCTGCGGGATATGCGCGGCTGATCAGGCCGAAGTTCTCCGCCGTCTGAACATGTTAGTGGACCGAATTAATGACCAATTAAGGGATCGACAAAGAGATAGTTTTTGAGGTAAAAGATATTCTCAATTCGCCAGAATTTGCGCTTCACTTACATAGTCAAATGTAGAGGCATCAGTCGACTCCTCATCCTGCAAAAAGTAGCCTGTGACCGCAGAGTAACTGATAGTCGATGCCTGCGCGACAGCTAGGCCCACAAGGGCTGAACCGAGGGTGGAGAGTTTCATTGAAAAACGAAGATACGCGGGTTTCAATTCCAACGTTTCAATTCACAATTTTGGGTTGTTATTTCTTTCTGCTCTCTTAAGATGAGATCGACAAATATCTTCCTTTTATATTTAGGTATAAACCTTGGAAGACTGTAGCGCACGTGGTGGTTAAGGTTGCTGCACGTTCCAGTGGCGCTTTTTGCGCGTTCCACGGTTCTGGACGACAACCTATGGTCTGGCGCACGTGCTGAATCCATGATTGTACGATGTACGGAGGTACGGAGTACATGCTCCGTACAATTTGGAATAATATATGTCCGGAATATGTACTCATACGAGCGAGCCAGAAAGGGGCAAGTGCCACAAACAGCTTGAACTAATAGCTGAGTCGTGACCGTTTGGTGGTGGATCATTATTTTATTCTCCGGGATTTACTTCCGGGAAACGCGAAAAGTGTAAGAGATCGACCCCTTTTTTGATTGAGAGATATGAAATAGTATAGATACGTAACAAAATGTATATATCATGGAAAATGTCAAAATAAGTCGAATGCTGCCAAAGCCATATGCAATCCCAAGTTCAAATCCCATCCACAAAACCCGATTCCAAATGACGGGAATAAAAAAGAGGTCAAAGACAAAGACAAATAATCAATGGTAGAATATAAAAAGGTCTCGAGGTTCCCATGAGGAAGCCCGGCAGAAATTAAAAGGTCCTATCAGACACCAAAAATAACAAAAACAATCCCAGGCCAATAAACAGTATGCAAGGAATGCTCCAAATATGTAGAAACCCGATAAATACACCCCAAATAAAGAGACACGAAAAAAAGTATATAAGACATAAAGTGACAGTGGTTCTCCGCGCGTGGAGGGTTGGCTAGACAACATCTCCCTTATGAGAGAAGGTGTAGGAAAACGAAGGCGAAAGCGAAAATTTTGCGAAGTGAACTCGTCCCAGACCAAAAACACCGAAAGTTGACGCCCATTTCTCATACATCCATAGTAAGGGAAAGATCAACGGATCCAGCCCCTAGGAAGGGTAGTTACTTGGCGTCGTATTGTTCGCGAACGTGTAGGCTTTCGGCTTCTGCATCGATAGCAAGTGATGGCCACCAAAGTGGGTATCGTGCTCTGGGAATTCATGCATCATAAATTCAGTCCGCTTCCTCTCCGCGAGCTCGGCAGAGCCTGGCATGTCGGTATCTTCGATGGAGTAGATCAAAGACGGGGAGCCAGAGACCGATTCCATGCCAAACGCCTGTCCAGTGTGGTCGGTGGTCGCGCTGTAGCCCATGGGCGAGACGGTAGTTGAGTGCGGTACCTGGAGACCCGGCGGGTACTCGGGTGAAGATATGGAAGCAGTGTCGGCCCAGCTGCGGGCCGGCATGGGAACCGAGTCACATGTGATATATTCAGGGAAGGAAGATACATGAGCCGGGGCCGACATCGGCGGGGCCACGTTTTGGTAAGGGAAGGGGGAGTAAATATCCAGTGGTGTAGCAGGAGGTGATGCCATATTGACCTGCATGGGCTGGGAGGTAGGGAAGAAGTGGGCTGTGGAGTGGGCCGACAAGCAGTAATTACTTTCCGTGGGGGAGGCAGGCATGAAATGCTGGAGGTCTTGCGGGGTCAAGGGAGTTGGCGGAGCTAGGCTAGTGGTCGAGACCGAAGGTCGCAACATCTTCTCGGCCTTCTTGATAGACCCGGAATCCGCAAAAGTGAAATTCAGTGGAGACCGCTGGGCAGCCGACGCCTTTCTCACACCGGCATACCGGGAGTTGAGGCTTTGAGTTGACTTGGATTGCCTCATCGAGTTGCCGGCACCGGAGTTAGGCATACGAGCGGTAGGCGAGAGCGAGGACATCGAGGTCGAGTTAACCAAAGGACGAGTTCCCGAGGTGCCAATAGCAGCGGGGCGAGGGCGCTTGCGGCGTGCGGCGAGGTCGAGCTCCTTACCGGGCTCCTTCCAGCAAGTTGCTTCTACCCGATCGACAGATTGAGACAGCCCAGATTGGCCGGTAGTACAGATTCCGATGCCCTCCAGTGAGGCGGTCAGCGCATCAGAAGACTCACGACGTGTGACCGAGATATCTGGTGTCTGCATGGACATCGGATATTGCATATTTCCGTAGACAAGGTTGTCGTGTCGTGATTCCCTGTCCTCAGACCATTCTTCCCTGTGAGGGGGCAGATGGTTCGAGTAAACGTCCAAGTTTTGGTGCATGGAGTGGGAAGGATTCGACATTTCCGCCATTGGTTGGTGGCAATTGGAATATGGGGTCTGCTCTGCAGTGCTATATCCCACATTCTCATTGTGCTCGCCGGATCCCCACGAAGCGGGTTCTTCCTTGATACCCGACCAGCCCGAAAAGGAGGAGTTCATGTTGGCAAGATTTCCATGGTCACTAGCTGGAGTGGCCGTTTTTGGTGGTGGCATTGATCCAGGGGACACTGCCTCTTCCCCTTCGTCTTCTTCAGGAAAAGACTCGTTCTTGCTCCGAGGGTTGATCCGGCGACCGAATCGATCCCGGGCAGCACAAGCAGCATTCAGCGCCCTCTGCAAAGACGCAAAAGTTGCTTCTCTTGCCGACTCACTCTTTGTTTTGTGGTGTTTGGAACGGCTGGATGTGGAATCTGTCTTGGCATGGCCACTGGATGTGGAGGTAGGTGTTTGCTTAGGAGTAGCGGATTTCTCCGATTCCTCCTTGGCAATTGATCCTTTTCGAGATCCAGACAGTTGGTCCAAGGTCTCTGATTTCCGGCGAGCAGCCTCCTCGGCTTCCGCCTTGGCCTTTGTCATCTTTTCAAATTCCTCCTGGCGTTTCTGTTGCTTGGCCTTGGCGCGACGGTTCTGAAACCAATTCTATTTATTGGATTAGCTCTGGCTAGACAAGAAGGGTTCAGCTTCTAGGTATACGTACCGCAACGCGAGGAAGACTCAAATTTGTCTGAGCCGCCAATTGACGCTTAACGTTGCTGCTTGGCTTCGGATGAGCCTGGAATTGGGCCTCCAGGGTTTCAACTTGTTCCTTGGTCAACCGTGGTCGCGACAGATTTTCAGTGTATTCGTCGTAGTCCATAATCGGTTGGTGGTAGTAGTCAATCATCTCCATTGGCGGGTGAGGGTACATGTAGCCCTCCATAGGATGCATCATCGGAGGAGGGACCATGGACGGGTCATATGCCATGTGTTGTTCCATTGGGATGCCCTGGTGGCCCTGGTAGTTCCATGAGGGGTGAATATAGCTCATGGCGATGTGTAGAGGAAAGTATGTAGGTATAGGAGGGACGAAGTTGTGGGAGGAGCGCGAGAGAGATAGAGAGGGATGGGGATGGAGATGCTGCGCAGGAAAGTAGCAGCTTCGAGGAGTGAGGTCTATATCATGAAGTAGATTCGGTTTGGTCAACCTATAGCGATCGAGACAGGGACCTTGGTTGTAAATGTAAAGAATGGCAGTACGGATAGTCCGTTATTGAAGAAAAAGAAATGAGCAGTGGTAGCTTGTGATAATGGTCGATGTTAAGGAGAGACTCGGGATTTAGGGACCCAAAAGAGTGTGCATGGAAAAAGAAACCAAGAGAAAAAGCAAAGAAAGAGCTCAGGGAACGTAAAGAAAAGACTGTGTGAGAAAGGAAAAGGATGAAGAGAAAGAAAGATGGAGTTTGGAGGCGCTGGGGGGGAAGATCGGGGGTGACGGCTGGTAAAGCGCGGTACACAGCTGCCGAATAATTTGGTATGATTGGCTGGCGGGCGGGTATTGTTCAGTAACGGGTGGTAATCAGATGAAACAACCTTTGCAAAAGGTCTGTGCCTGTACTGGGTACATGAGACTTATGTACTATGAGTACCCGGCTTGCGGGTACCTGTACTTCAATCGAGTATAGATATAAATAATAATAAAAAATCACATTTAATATTAACATATTAAGAATTAATCAAAAAGAATTGCAATGGGAAAAGCAATTCAGATCTGGGATCGTCTTCCTGCCCATCTACGGAGTAACAATCCAATGATGCGAACAATACCCACACAAATTGAAGGCTGAATTACCCCCCACCGTATTTCATCCTTTTTTAGCCCGTGGAGTCGCGCTACCGCCCGCTCGGTAGGGGGTGGCGGCCTGACTCTTGCATCAGAGTCACATTTTGATTTTATTTGAATATTCTTTATTTTTATTCTTATTTACGATGTATCCTTTGTCCTTTATTTTTTTTCAACCCTTTTTTTTTTTTTCCCTTTTCCAGAATAGAGTTGGCCCAGGACATAATTCCGATCCCATCCAGACTCCCCCTCGTGAACTCATTCTAACATGGACGTGTAACAAAAAAAAAAAGGGATCCGAGGCTCCACGGAGCCCTACCCGATCGATTCGGATCTCATGAATATTTGTGCGAAAATACCGATCTATATTTTCACGTACCTGCTATAGCATTGGAGGTACCTAGGTACCTACATAAAATGTAACAGGAAGGGTACATCGTATACCTAGGTAGTAAGCTTCGGAGTAAACAAAGGTGAGCCAAGGTTCAAGTGCGGAGAGCCGAGTTTGGGTCGGATGCCTCCCGCGGTAATTTAATATACGATGTGATACAATATGATACATTGTGATACACCTGCTGTTATGGGTCCTCAGGGCTTAAGGACCCTCATCTTGGTCTCCGTGAATTTCACAAACCAAAAAAACGCAAACGCAAAAAATCCCAGTTCCTGCATTAGCGTCATGTCTGATCCCAGGAGGTGCCCGTCGCTGCAAAGAAAATCATGTCCACTATAGAAGAATTTAATTTGGAAAGAAAAATCAGTGGATCTGCTAGCAAGTACCTAATTTATGTGCAATATTATTTGTTAACTACATATTATACAAAGTACCGAGTATGTGTATTTGTAGCCTGTAGCTCCAAGTTCTACAAAAGACGTTATAATGCTGTAGATATCGGTACAGAGTACTCCTGTACGGTGATCAGACTTGCATACTCAATCTGCTTTGGGTAGTAGTCACAATTTCCTCCCTAAA